CCCCAAAACCCCAAAACCCCAAAACCCCAAAACCCCATGATGTCATTGATTGAATCAATAACTTTGATAATTACATTTTATGAAGTTTTAATATTTGCTGCTTAATTTGCTTAAATACTAATTTATAATAAAACAATGAATGTAATCACAGAGAAGGCTAGTTTCAATGTTAAGATCATTACACTTCAGTACTCAGCAATTTATAAAAATATCGAGGCAACAATGCTTCTAGTGGACAAAATGCTTGAACCTTACTCTGAAAGCGATAACATAGATATCGTCATGCTCCCAGAACTGTCATTTTCAGGTTGTCTATTCTATAGCTCAGAGGAAAGTTAGAAATATGGTGAAATCAAAGGGAAGGGATTGATTTATTAATGGTGCGCTAAATAAGCATAAAGATTGAAAAGTTTGATTATTATTGGATATATAGAGAATGAAGACAAAAACTGTTACAATTCTATGTTGATTGTTGATGAAAATGGGTGTATAATCAAAAATTATAGAAAAAATTAGCAATTTTATAGCGAACTTAAATGGGCCTTATCTGGTAAATGTTTTGAATACGTGGATGCTTTTCTTCACCGACATTAGAGATCGTTTAGATTTGGACTTGGAATATGCCAAGACATTTGGTTTTAGTATGGAAATTAGTATATAGACATGAGATGGGCTCAATTCTGTGAAGATAACGATGTAGACTCGATATTATTCATGACAAATTGGCCTGATTGGGAAGTTTTCAAGAGTGAGGAGGTAATTACTCAAACTGCTCTTACCGTTTGGCTGAATAGAATGATTCCAATCACTGCAAGCTAGAAAAAAGATAAAAACGTATATCTAGTCATTGCAAGTCGTACGGGAGTAGAGTGTGGTTATGGGTATGTGGGCAGTTCAGCATATTTTTAGCTTAAACCTAATATTTCAATAGAAGGTCACTTAGAATTTGACGAGCAAGCAGTACAAGAGTGCATTTTAAAATTATGAGCTCAAATAGGAATATAAAAGTAAAGTCATTTAATTAAGATAAATAGGTTCTAATTTTCAATTTTCTGAGCTATTTATAGCTTTATCATATGATCCAGGGGTTTTGGGGTTTTGGGGTTTTGGGGTTTTGGGG